GGGGCAACAGCGTGTCAGGAACATCGCACTGATTAACATTGAAAGGGAATATGCCAACTCTGCACTAAACAATGACATGGATCGTAGTATTGATATTTTTGGCCGTTGCAATGGGTGAGACAGTTATTTCTTTGAATACATATGTGTTCTACTTGTAACGTGACCTATCAAGTGGAAGATTATTTTCACTCCATACGAAGGCCTATGTTAGTGAATCCTATGATCCTCGTTTGTGCTCGATTTTTTTGTAAAAATTTGGGCAACTTGCGAAAATTTTTTGGGAAAGTAATTCACCGCCCTTCCCCCCCTTCCCGCCCTGGCAAAAATTGCCTGCACGCCTGTGCTTTTGAGGTCTAGGAAAACTGCTGAGCCCACTCGCGTTCAGCTCGTGCGTCGACTAGCAGTTCACCCAAACAGTGTTAACAGCACATGCATCAAGCAGCGATCAGATAAAAAAAGGGGTTTTATTCGTGCCGATATGTTAGAGAGAGGTTCACCCAGGTAGTATTTTGGCTCGTGTTTTATGCTTTGTCAACTCTCAAGGCAGTTCGTATCGCTGCGGAGAAGTGGTACACCAATTGATGGTTTTAGACTCCAAATTGAGGCCGAGGTTCAAATTCGAGCTCTGGCCAGCTGGTCGGGAAAACACATTTCACTCTCATGATGCCTGACRAACCCTTGGAGTGTAGATGAGTATAAGAGCATATTGTTAGGGTAAGCTGATATAAAACTGCTGGAAGAAGTCTGCGATGATCATGGACCAGAACGAGCAACAATACCCATTGCTCGTTGTTTATTGTTAAAAAACAAACCTGGCGGAGAATTATCTGACGATAGTTATCAGTCAAGCAGTAAAAAACATGTCAGCTATCATACTGAATTGGCTTAGGCTCTTCGAGGGGAAAGAAAGTGAAGAGAAGAAGAGCTTGATGGCAAACTAACTCAGTAATAGCTCCCTGGGTTTCAAGCCCGATCATGTTCAAATAAAGTTCTTCAGTAAGGGAAAGGATAGCTAAGCTAACTAACCGTGAAGACTACTTCTTCTTTGGATGAGCCGGCTCGCTTTGTTCTTAACACCTTTTGACTCTTAATGAAGACTGTGGCCGGGAATCGCTAAAGTAAAATGTTTTAATCACTGAAATGCTTCACCACTTGATACAACGGAAACTTTTTAAGACAGGAAGCGCCGCGCTTTGAATGGAGGGCTGTCGCTGCAATTACGATACAAATTGATTACTTTTAACAAATGAGCGATCCTAAAACATCTCTAATAGAATTTGATTCTATCCTGAATCTACGGTCTAGAATAGTGCTATAACAAGTGGTTTACAGGAACGTAGGTTCATGCATATCCAATGGAGTTGAATCCTGAACTA